GGCAGCGTGTGCTCCTCAAAACCCCTCTGCCTTCTGCTCGGGACCGTTTCCTTGCTCTTTGGCAGTTACTATTGAACTTTCTTTAGTGACTCCAAGGCAGAAGCAGCAGCTTTTCAAAGGTCCGTTGAAGCCAAACCCTGGAGCCACGGGAAGCTCCTCAGCCTGCTCTGAGTCCGGGTCAACACCCCACAGACCCGTCCCTGGCCGTGAGAGCCCCTGGCAGCGCAGGGCTGGGCGACCAGGGGGGCTTCCTCATGCTCCAGGGTGTGCTAAAAATCCACCTCCGCTAGCAAAGGTCTTCCCAAGCCCAGGGAGGGACTCGGGAACGAGGCTACCTCGACTTGCCACCTTAGAGGTCTTCATTTCTGCAGCTCTCAGCACCCCGCTTAACTGCTAAAGGGCCGGGGAGTCGCTCCTCATCCTCACGTGACACAAATATCGTCCCGCTTCCTTGCGGATCCAGAACCGCTCCCTGCACATCCGGGACCAGGAGTCCATCCCCAACCTGGTGCGGGTCAGAGCACCCGTGGGATTCCCTTCGTTCCTTCCACCGACTCTCTCCTTGGCCGCAGTATTTCTAGCCAGGGCGCTTTCTTCTCTAGTTCTCCTAATTTTTCCGCTTGTTTCCATTTATGACTTTCTATTTTTAACAGCTGCCCTCAATTTGCCAATGGCAGATGAACTTTTGGCCAAAACTGTTTGCTCCCTTGATGGTAGAATCCAACATGATTCCTTCTAAAAAACTGCCTGTTCTCATTCCTATCCCTCTGCCTGGATTTCTACCCCCAACAATTCCCGTAATTTTTCCGTGCCGGGATATTTAGTGCTTTCGTACCTCCAGGCACACATACATTACGGGCTGGAATTATCCTCTGGTTGCCCGTATTCAACATAATTGGGTCAAGATCTCCCAGCCAGTCCTATAATTTATTCTTCTCTACCCAACAGGAGGAAACCTGGAATAGCTTGTGCAGAGCGGGCGAAATTCCAGCTCCAAGCCCAGGATGAGTGAAACGCGCAGAGGGTCTCCCGGGTGCCCCTATCCCAGGTCCTGGCACCCCGGGGTGCCCGGGACGACCAGCAGGTTGGTTCAGAACATGATACAGAAGCAAAGGGCGAGGAAATGAAATCCCAGGAAAATCCTTCCCACAGGAAGGTCTCAGCCCATTCAGAACATGAGCAAACTTCTCACCTTTAGAATCATCTTATTTCTAAACATTAATTGGATACTTTTCTCAGGCTTCAACGCAACATCCGTATCCAAGTCTCAGAACTGTAAGTTTTCACTAATTTAATTGATTTTCCTAATGCAACTTTAGCTGTTTCAAGGTATCGTTATTTGTAGACAATTACTGAACTTTAATTAATCTGTCTCTAGCTGCTATAGCCTAAAATAAAAGTGTCTGCGCATGTCGGGGCCAGAAAAAGGATGCTGCGCTTTTAACCCAGAGCTCCTGTCACTCTGGCTAAAGAAGGGTCTGCTGGCTGGTGTCACAAGGGGCTGGAGAGGGCTCATTTGGGGCAGTATCCATCCATCCATCCGTCCATCCATCCATCCATCCGTCCGTCCATCCATCCGTCCCCCTGGCAATCTCCCTGCAATTTTCCTGCTTTCAGAACCGGAGCGGCTCCCTCACAAGTTCTTGGGGTTTGGACTGAGGTCCCCTCTCCAAGGCGGCACCTTCTCTTCACACAAGGCCTTTCCCCATCCCTGCTCCGGTTTCGAGTCCCGCCGCAGCTCCGCTTCCAGCCCGGAGCGCGGGCAGCGGGAGGAGGCCGGACACGCTCCCTCACATCCATAGCAATGGGAAGGAGGCTCCCGTTGGTGACCTCCCGCCGCGGAAGCCACCTTTGGAAGCGGAGGCTCCGTCTCCATCTTGGCGCAGGGCTTTGGTTGCCTCGAGCCTCCATGTTCTCCTGGCCACTGCGTGGGGCCGCGGCGGAACACACTGGACGCGAGGAATAAACCCAGGCTGGGGCTTAGTAAGACAGCGAAGAGTCTGGAAAATGACTGCAATAAACCTGGATGCCCAATTATTTAAAAGCGCTAATATTTATCATTTGAAAATGAGGTGGAAGGATCATCATAGAGAAACATCAAGTATCTTCTTTTCATTCCTTTTTGGTGCTAGGTCAGAAATTGAGAGGACACTTTACTGCCTCAGTAGATACCCTGAAATACAGCTAATTCTGCGCTGTGTGCAGAGGGGAAGGGCTGATTTTGCTCCCGTCTATGGGAACTGCTATAAGATTGGGATGAAAGAAGGCTCCTACTCTGGAAGGATGGAAACGGGTCCCTGTTCGAGGTGGCAGGAGAACCCAGGAGAGGTTGTGGAATCTCCCTGTCTGGAGATCTTCCAAGCCCGCTTGGACGCAATCCTGTGCCCCGGGTCCCTGCACGTGCCGGGGGCTGGACTAGGTGATCTCCAAAGGTCCCCTCCAACTTTAACAATTTGTGAAGCCCCTGCACGTTCTCGCAAACCCCATTTCAGTGCCACGGGTCAGAGTCATTTTTAGTCACGCCAGAGGAAACGCACAGACCTCAAGAAATCCCTTGATCTTCGCTGATGTGAGAAAATAATCCGATCCTCTCGTCCCCCGAATACTTCCAAATAACATGGTGATTTGCCTTCCGAGCTCTGCGGGTTCGGAGGGATGCTCCATTTTCCGAAGAGCCACATGAAGCTCCTCGCTTTGCTGTCTCGTCCCCAGGCTGAAACGCTCCCCCCGAGGCGCCTCTGCCCAGACCTCCCTTTGCAGACCTGCCCTGACGCTGCTGTGCTTAACGGCACCAGTGAGTTACAGCTACGTGCACGTGTTTTCCTGGACAATGAAGTTAAAAGGCCACTTTGGCACCAATTCATTTGCTGTTACCCCAAGTGATGCAGGTTCTTGCTGGTGCTGCCGTATACGAATAACTGCTCTTGGTGAAAGCCGAGCGGAACACGCATCACTCGCGTCACTGCTGCCTTAGGAGCGTCCCCAGGGAAGCCGGGGGGTCCCTGGCTCTCGAAACCGGTGGCACCCGAGTCACACCGAGTGCTCTCCCGTGCTCCAGCCACCCCGGCTGTCCCGCACGCTCCTCTGCGCCGAGCGGAGCCGCTCTGCCCGGGAGGCTCCTGGGCTTCCAGCAATACCTCAAAGGGCAAATTCCCCTCCTGCCAAAGAGCTTTTTCCCTTGGCTTCATCCCGAAAAGCTCAGCAAGCTGCGCTGCACCGCAGCGAAGAGAGACCAGCAAGGGGGAACTTCAGAGGCCGGGAAACCAAACCAAGCAGCTTGATTTATGATCTCAGCTGGTCCCCCCTTGTGCCCTCCTGCCACCAATGCCATTGCTGCAGTCACACCAGCTGCGAGGGGCTGCTGCAAACACCCCCGATCTCTCCAGCTGGAGACGGACCCCATGCAAAACAAACTCAGGCTTCGCGTTTCTCCAGTCTCTAAATGACCAGAGCAAACTTCCCCAACGAGCAGCCCTAGACGCCCAGCTCCTAACTCTGATTCCGGACTTGACTCTTCTGGCTTCCGGGGTATTTTTTCATTATGAAAATAAGATCAAACTGCGAGCTTGTAGCTGCACCTGTAATTTGGATGCAGTAAACTCCTGGATACAGGAGTTTAATTACGCTTCATCATACACTTCTCTTGAACCAAGCTTTGGAGTCAAGAAGACTGATCAGTAGAAAAGGCATAAACAGCAAACAGAAAACCTCTCCTGGTGTCTTTTATGTGTGTCTCAAACTGAACCCAGGGGAACCTCCTCAAACACTGACAAGGAAGGTTAGTCCCATGGCCAACTAAATCCTCAACCTCGGGGCGGACAAGGTTGATCATTAACATTGGCTATAGCAGTAAGTTTGTAATCTCAACACTTCTCTGCAAGGAGTTGCCCCAAGACCCAGCAAACGCTTCGCACAAGTCCACGACAGTCAGAGAGTGTTAGTTTTTGATCATATCTAAGCAAAAGTGGCTCTGAGTCAGCAATCAGGCGCCTGGAAGCACTGTATCCATTTATTCCATGTATCCAGCACTGGGCCACGCATTCCCAGCCAAGCTGCTCGTTTCAGAGGCAGCATCTGAGCAGGAGGATTTGTCTCCGTGGAGCTGTCCATAGTTCTACCACAGAACCCTGAGCTCCGTGTAAAACTTTCCAAATCACAGGTTTTCGCATCTTAAAACCTCTAGTACAAACTGGCGCACAGAACCTTAAGCTCACCCAAGCACCCAACATACACAAAAGAAAAAACGGTCCAAAATACGAACGTATTTGCTTTTGGTTATTATTTTGTCCTCAGGCAACGTTTTACTCCTGAAGTGACTGATCCAGATCTATCTCTTCAGCTCACGACAGCGAACTCAGACCTGGCATTTTAGACCCCAGGACTGGGTCCTCTAACACACATCTCCAGATTGCCACTGGTTTAACAAACCTATTGCTTGGAGGCAATGTCACAGTTGGAGCTATTGGTGGCGTTTCCCACCTCTACCTAGCGCACCCAGAGCTGCCCCCACTTAAAACCCAGGGGCCCAAGAGTGTCACCAAGTGACCGAGCCCTCTCCCATGGGGACACAGGGACAGAGGGTGGTGGCAGCCGACCTTTGGCAGGTTGCCCATGAGGATAGGAGCTGCCCCGGGGACCTGAGGCCATGTCTAGGCTTCAGGCACCGCCTGCTAAAGCTCCCAGGCAACTAGGAGGAAGCAAAGCAGCCAATTCCTATCCCCAGCTTCAACTGCAGAACAGTTCCTCAAAATAAGCACGTGCCTAAGGAACACGCAGGCAGCTCTGAACAGTAACTGCGTCAAGCGCATCCCCGCTCCTGCGCGTCAACCGCTGCCGAGGCGGCCCCAGCGCCGCGCGCGTTCTGCCCCCGAGCGCCCACGCGTAAAGCAGCGACGGCGCCCACGTAAAGCAGCCCGCGCAGCCAGGACACCCCCAAAACCCCCCTCGGGGACCACACGTGCCAGGGCCTGGCCGTGCCCCCGCGCTGCCCGGGCGCTCACCTGCTCCTGGGAGTTCATGACGCGCAGCTTCATCTGCTTCAGGTAGGTGGACGTGAGGGGCATGTTGTAGTCGATGATGCCGGACACCAGCGAGGAGGGCGGCTCGCTCTCTGCGGAGCAGGACAAGGAAAACGCGAGTTACGGACGGCTGTGGAAGCACGGAGCTGCCACGCGTCATCATCACCCATTAACTACAGGTGTTTCCAGCACTTAAAATACCTAAATAGAAGTGGTGCCTGCTGAGCTAAGGTTCTTATAAGACTATGACCCCACCAAGAGCATAATTACAGAACAGCTGTTGTTGTGGGAAAAAAAAAGAATCATTACTGTCACCTGTGGAAAAGACTACACATAAAACACTTTTTTTTTTTTTTTCCCCTCTACAAAACTAAATTGTAGCTGAGGACAAAACGAAGTTGTACCAGAGTCTCAGATTCCCTTCTGTGCAACCAGGATTTATGCAGAGCTCGACAGGCAGGCACTTTTCTCAGCCTGCTTTGGCACTGCAAAGTCTTGCCAGTTTTGCTGGGCATTCCCCCAGGCAGGAATGAACAGCAGGGCAACTTATTAAAAATGTCTATCCAGTGAATATTATTTTCAACACTCTCATTAAAACACAACCTTATTTTTTAAAATCTCCAATTTAGATGGTTTCTGTGGATTCCTCTGGATGCATCACCCTGAGCTCTGGAGTCAGACCCTCCTGCAGGCCCCTCTGCGAGCCAGACCAGGAGAGCCCAAAGCAGCCAGTTCTCAGGGGCTTTGCACGATTTGTCCCCTCTGCCTCCATCGCGGGGGAGCTTGCAGCTCCTCCGTGAAGGACACGAGGATGCTATGTTTATTTTTATTTTTATTTCTATTTTTATTTATTTTTATTGTACACTGAATCCAGCAGCTCATGCACTGCACGGTCAAGTGGGATGTTGCCATTCCCTACAGGAAAGGATGCTGGAGGAAAGGAAGATCCTTTGCCCTCAGCACAGGTGCTGCCGCATGGGAATCGGCCCGGCCCTCCGGCCCGCAGGAAGGGACATGTGGAGGGCAAGAAGGAGGATCCCGGGAGCAGCAGGTTTCATCCCGACTCCCAGTCTCTCTGCCTGGCTTGCGTTGTCCGGGGTCGCTGGTTCCACAGCCCCTCTGACCCACTGCCTTTCAGGGAGAGCCTTCACAGCACCAGATTTATTTTGCAGATCTTCTGCATCAGGAGCCTAGTTGAGGCCATTGAACTAGAATGCTTATTCCCAGGTCCTGCTAGCTCAGGCCTGGGCATGTGCAGCATTCTGGCATCTGGATATGGAAAGGGATGGCCAGAGCTCCCCCAGCCATTAGCTCAGTCACATACGAAGGTGCAAAGCTTTTAGGAATCTTGTAAATTCTGGATCTTGTACACTAATTCCTCTCCTCTTTTCTCAGGGCTGTTTATCACTTCTCTGTGTCATGTTTTGGCCTGTAGATTAAGAGCACTTCTATGTCTCTATGTAATAAGCTCACAAAATAACCCATTCTTCTACTTGCAAAGATGTTATCTTGTGACTAAAAGTGCTAAAATCCCAGTGCTTCCAACAGCCCAGCTCTGTGGCGAGGGAGGAAAAAGCTCCCACGAACAAAAATTTTCACAGCTTGGCCAAATGCGATGAAAAGCGATTCAGTCCACCCTAAAGATCAAATAAGTAAGTCAGCGGTGGGAGATCAGAAGGAATGAAGCCACATCACTGAATCAATGAGACCTTTGACTGCACTGGTCTGTGCAGCAGCACAAGTTGATAACCAAGTGGGTTTTTTTTTTCCAAAAGACGATTTCCTGCCGCGTGACAACAGAAGTTAGAAACTGCCACTGGTTCCAGAGCCTGGGCTGGAAATGGTAGCCCGCAGGTTGGGCAGCCCTGCACGGTTGCACGTGCAGCGCAGGCAGCGCGGGCAGCGCGCGCCCCGCAGCCTCCTCACCGCCTCGAGCGCGAGGGCCGCCACGATGCCAGGAAAAGGGATCTCCTCCATCACCTCCTGCCACTGCCCCAAGGTCCCGGACCTGCCTCTGCGGCCTCCTCATCTCCCCAGCCTCATCCCAGCGGGACGGGGACGGAGCTGGGCAGTGTCCCATCACTCTGCGCTCGGCAGGACCGGCTCTGCAGCACGAAGCCAAGCGCACGGGCGAAGGCGAGAGCTCAGACCGGGCCGTCTGACGGGCAACGTCAGGACGCGCTCCCGGGCAGCAAGGGCTGCGCGCGCGGCATCCCCCAGCAACGTCTGCGGGCTCTGCCGCTGCGCCGGCCCCGGCACGCGCACAGAGCACCAGGATGTGCCGAGAGGAACCCTCTGCTGAGGAGGGACGAGCCGGGTGCTCCAAACCCCTATTCTCTGCCTCGCTGCGCTCCTCGCGACACCAGAATTACGTATTAGCGCTTTTCCTAAATAACACACTTGCTTCAACAAACTTCTAACCTCGGTTACAAGAAATTACATATAAGTATTAGGAGGATTCCTTCACCATCTTTTTATCTTTGTTTTACTGAAATTAAAAAGAGCCTTGATTAAAATATAAATTCAAATAAATAAATAATTCATTAATAAGGAGTGGAAGAATTTATGGCAGCGATGTCAGCAATAGCATAGGATTAATCTGCAGCTGAGCCTCAATCCTGTTTTCCAGAGTTTTGCAAAGTTTCTTACAGGCAGAAAGCTAGGAATCTCTCTCTTGACTCTCCTGATGACGCATATAATGGAAGTGAGTCAATAATGATAAACATCCATCTCTCTGATCCTGGCAAGATGGAACAATTCAAGCATAGAAGAACCTTAGGATCTGAGCTGTGTGGCCTGACAAGGAGCCAGAATAAGAAAGAACATCTGCATATTGCCCCCATGTTCTCTCTGCTGCCTTGGATGAGGATGAATGAAAATTCAGCTGCTGGGGCTTTAGCCACACTGGAGCTGCCCCTTCATGCAGCCTCTTCCCGACTCCGGAGAAGCAGCTGCCCTGTGGGACCTGCACTGGCTTCGGCTCCCCGGAGAGCAGAGAGCGGCTGCTCATGGAGATCCTTCTCTGGAAAGCATGGCAGGGAGCACGGGGCATCTAGAGTCCAGAAGGGTCTGAAAAGCAGGATTCAGAGAGACCCAAAGAAAAAGTGGTCATGAAACCCAAAGAACAAACCTTTACCTATATAACATTACTGCTGTGGAGAAAAATGGAGCGATCTTTGCTGCATATCTGTGGTGTTTAGACAAGCAGCAATGGGTTAGGACGCAGCAAAAGATTCCGATCAGATACTGGAAAACCTTTCTAGTGTGGGGATAGGGAAAACTACACAGGATGGCCGGGGTCACGCACACGGAGACGGGGCTGAGCACGGGGCTGCCGCCCCCTGCGCGCCGCAGAGCAGCGGCGGGTCACGCGGGAGAGGGCGGCTGAGCGCCGCGGCGCTGCCTGCAGCCGTCCCGGGCCGCGTGGGGAACAGTCCCTCTCGCAACAACAAATTCTCTGTGAATCCGTGTAACTGCAAGAGATAAGAGCATCAGCCTAAAAAGCCAAAGACATATTTTTAACTGGAAGAGAATGAAAACCTTTGTTTTAAAGGGCCTTGGGGACGCCACGGGAACCATCCACATCCTACAGAGCAAAAGGAGGCTACTGTCATCATTTACCTCATTTTAAAAATGTTAACTTTATCACATGCCCCACATGCTGGAAATACAGATGAAACACTCAGGCAGAATGGTCTGAAATAAAACAGTTTCAATCCTAATTCCATGCTTGTATCATTCTGCCGGAATTACTCCCATTTAATAATAGAGCTAAGAAATCACTGTGAAGTCCAGTGTTGTTCGAAGCTTCCAATGAGCAAGACAATTTGCTCTTATGAATTATGTTGGTGCCCTGCAGGGTTTGATGTCAGATATGTTTAATTAGGGATTTTCCTGATCACAAATGAAGTGTGTTGAGATTTGCTAAAAGGACGAGAGACGTAGGAACAGATGGGAATTTTTCACTTTTTCCATCCTGCTGAGTTAACTTTATCTCCATAGGTTTGTATGGAGGTGTGGATGTGCCTAAAACTAAGCATTTTTCTATGACCCCAACATTTTTAGGTGACCTGCTCCAAATAAATTCCTGTATATGTGTTAGTGAAAATAAACACTCCTTCCCAATAAAAGCCACCTTACCCAATCAACTTTGTGCATTTCCACAGGTCACTAAGCAGAATTCAGAGCAGAAAGGTACTTGGGGCTTTCCATTCCCGGTGGGTAAGAAGCAGGGATTTGTGTGGGGGGGATTTTTTCTCTCTTTCCCGTCTGGTTTATTTTTAAGGCAGCTGGCAGGGGGAAAGCTTCCCGGGAAACGTTTCCCATCCCGCTGCCCTCCCTGCCGCCAGCCTGACACCGGGACCCGCTGGTGTCCCGAGAGCCCCGGAGCCACCAGGAGCGGCACCCGCGGCCCACGGAAGGGCCCGACCTGCTCCCGGCGAGGCCAAGGGACCAAATTTCTCCTGATTTGAAAAAGGGATCGGGCCCTTCACAGGCAGGACAGGGAGGTGCTGCCAGAGTGGAGCGTGGGCTAATAAATGTCACCAATGATTATTTGGTTATCAGGGAGAGTTCCTAAAAAACGTAACAAGCACAAAGCATTTCAGCAACTAACTATGGATAACGGGGACACATCCTGCACCTAATGAACCTCGAGAGTGTCCGTGGGTCTGCTTCTGGCAGTAACCAGTTGGAAAGAGCAGAAATTCCCTGTTGTTTTGGTCCTTTGTTCATTTAATTCTGCTTCTCCGTTTGATAATTCTGTTTCTGCCATATCAGTTATGGAATATTCTAACTTTCTGTGATTGGTTTATGTATTTTTAAAGGAGCTTATTTTTTGAGGGAAAGTTCTCAGAGCCAGGTTGATGCTCTGCACTTGATAAGCTTGCAATTCAGGAAAAAAAAAAAAAAGGCATTAACTTTAACCATTTACTCTTGCAGAAGACTCAGTCCCATCTTACGCAGTGCTGATATCTAACCCTGGAAGCTGCAGATCAGCTCAGTTTACCAAAGAACTATAATGAGCTAAATACCACAGGTGAGACGCTAATTGGTTGCATACCTGGACATAACTTAACTTTGATTATCCCCACACTTTGCCATCCAAAATAGGATCACGCCTAATAGTGCATGCCTATTAATTACTGCAAATTACTTCTTTATCCAAAACTTGAGTTATTCAGACATACTCAGTTTCTTCCTTTATAAATCCGCAGTTTAAAGGAAAATCTCCAGGTCACGTGTTCCCAGTCCACCCACACATAATTATGAGTTGATTGCAGACATATCTGCCATATTTTTGACCCAGGCTTTGTTATCTTGCCTGGGGGAAGGTGCACCCAGAAGTGAAACTCTCTGCTCAGAAATAAAATTAAGCTCATCAGCCCATTTCCATTCCCTGAGCTGAGAAAAGAGGCTGCTTAAACAGTGATGAATAAATCATATTTAAGAAAATTACTCCAGCTTTGCCACAGAAGTGCATTAAAACCAACACGGGCCAAGGAAACCATCTGGTAAAGACCTCTGTGACCAAGGGGCCGGTGTCCTGACAGCTCCGGCGCTGTCGCCCCGTGAGGAACCGCGCGGCCGGGGCCTCGGGCGCCTTTACCTTTGGGCTCCAGCCCGTTGGAGTTGAAGTGCATCCTCTTCTGGCACTCGGTGCAGCTCATGAGGAACCGGGTCACGGCCTCCCTCGGCAGGAACGCGTAGGTCTCTGCGATCTGCGGGGACACGAGGCCGCTCTGGTCCCGCGGAGCCGAGCGGGAGGCAGGAGGGGGACAGCGGCCTCGGCCGCGGCCACCCTGCCCTGCGCAGTGCGGGACGTGGAGCCCCGCAACGCGCCCGCTCCCCGGCCTGGCGCGGCGGGACCCGAGCGCCCCCCCCCAGCCAGAACCTCCTCTGCCTCCCGGGGCCTCTCCCAGAGCCTCCTCTGCCTCCCAGAGCCTCCTCTGCCTCCCAGGGCCTCTCCCAGAGCCTCCTCTGCCTCCCAGAACCTCCTCTGCCTCCCAGAACCTCTCCCAGAGCCTCCTCTGCCTCCCAGAGCCTCCTCTGCTTCCCACAGCCTCTCCCAGAGCCTCCTCCATCTCTTCTGCCTACCAGAGCCTCCTCTGCCTCCCAGAACCTTTCCTAGAGCCTCCTCTGGCACCCAGAGCCTCCTCTGTCTCCCACAGCCTCTCCCAGAGCCTCCTTTCTCTTCCTCCTAGCAAGTCTGACGGCAAAGCTACGGACATGTAAGAATCAAAGGAGAAAGTGGCGTCTCCTCAGTTCTATTCCTGTTGTTCTTTACCATCCCACCAATAACCTGGAGAATCCATTTGTCTTTGCTAAGGGCAGGGCACTTCTTCCCACAATGGCAATCAATTATTGTTAATAATACTTTGCATTTCTGTGACATATTTTATCCAGGGAATTGTAAATACTTTCATGAACAGTAACGAATTAAGTCTCCCTGACCCTATGAGGTAGGCAAGTGTTTCTTGTATTTTATGGCTGAGGAACAGTCAAAGGAGAATTTTTAAAACGTGGATGCCTAAACTCAAGCCCTCTATGCAGACCTGAGTATCTGAATAATGTGCCTGGCTACCCTGGAGCCCTGCTGTTCTGACTAATTCCTCATAGCAGCAACTTCATAGCACCTCTGGAAACCGGATCTATACTCTCTGCAGAAAGAAGAAGTGATTTTAGAGGGCTTTTAAAGCCGTAGGGGACCATCAGATCATTTAGCTTGCCCTCCTGCCGGGCACAAGCCAGGGGAGCTCCCGCAGGCTCCCCTGCATCCTGGAACTCGTGGTTTCCTTCTGCCAAGGACTGCGGGTCGGCCAACCCTGTGAGGAGCAGAGGCTCCTGGTGCTGTGGGAGGTCACTCACCCTCCCTGCTTGCCCCAAGGGATCTGCTCGGGCCCAGCGCTTCGTCCGGCCCAGGGGAGTCACAGCGCGTAGAGCAGGGCCAGGGAGCCGACACGAGAACCCCGTGTTTGGGGAGGCTCAGGGCTGCGGCCTAGCAGAGCGCGGCTGAGCGGGGCTGCGAGCGGAAAGCCGGGCAGCCCCGAACACCCCAGCTCCTCTTCTCTGGCCAGGGGACATTATCCTGGCACCTAATTATTACCAAGAACTATAACAATAATAAAATATAAACTCCAAGCATCTTTCTATCCCATAGAAGAGTGAAGTTTAAGCTTGTTACAAAGCAGAAAATAATGCGATAGCAGCTGGTGGGGCGAAGGGCAGAGGGGCTACTGGCTAAAGCAGAGCTCAGCCAGCAGAGCTGCTGGGGAAGGCAGGGCCGGTTTCTCCACTGAGTGGCAGCATCGTCCCAGTTTTCCGTGCGTGTTAATGTCAGATGGGTGGAAAGTTCAGACAGGGACCTTGTCCCAGCGTTTCAAATGGAGGATGCGGCGCCTGGTCCGCCTGGGAGGCTCCTTGGATTCAGACCCAGCCCTACCCAGCTCTGCGGTGACCCGGCGCTCTCGCAAGGCGCCTGCGAGACGCTCATCCGCGCTCGAGCACCGGGGCCCCGCAGAAGCGATTGCAGAGCAAGGGCCTGGCAGCCACCGCGCCGCTGGGGACTGCAGCAAGCGGCCCCAGAGCACCCAGACCGGCCCCGCTGTCGCTTTTGCTCCTGTGGACCCATGGTGTCTGCTGCAAATGTTCAGCTAATTTTAGTGATACCGTTGTTATTTCTCAGTTGATTTGATGCTCTGCAGAGCAGACAGCTTCCTTGATGAGTTATCTCCCATCCAAATTCCCTTTCTGATTGCCTCCCTTCGGAGGTCATGGACAAGGGCAAACTCTCCAGTGCCTCCCTAATCAGAAATGGTGGAGAGAGGGAGAATAAGCAGCGGGGGACACTGGATCTCCCTGAGGGGTCCGTCCAGCAGGGCCCTGCAGCCTCTCACTTGCCCGCCCGGCCGCACAGGGGCTCCGAGGAGAGGGGACGAGGATGGGGAACTGCGTCCTGCCAGCCCGGCAGCCTCACCGCCACCGGGATGGTCTCGGCTCGGGAGGAGGCTGCAGTGCCAGATCCCACTGCCCTTAGCAGTCCTGGGAAAACAAAGGGATCCAGCCTGCTCCCCGGAGGCCGTGCAGTGCCCAGATTAGCGCTCCGGAGAGCGGCGCTGCAGGAATCTGGGTAGGCCCGGAGTGCTCTGCAGGGAACACGGGCGGGAAGCTGCTGAATTGCGGTCATGCTGCGGGGGCTGCCCTGGCTGATTGCAAAGAGGGCACCTGCCTGCGCTGCCGCCCCGCAGGGGACACAAGGTGTGTGCCCAGCGCTACATGGGCACTGCAGGGGATACGAGGTGTGTGCCCAGCGCCCCGGGAGCTGCAGTGTGGCCGGGCACCGCGGGGCTGCTCTCAGGCGCTCACTGGGCTTGCGGAGCCTGCGGCCGGGCAGGCAGCGCGGAGCAGAGCAGAGCAGGGCAGCTCCTCCCCGCGGGGCCCCGGGCAGCTCTCCAAGCCCTGTCACTGCAGAGAGCAGGGGGGCCGGCGCAGAGCTCTCCGGGATGATGAACACCCCAGGGACATGAGCTGCCAGCAGCCTCTCCTGTCTCCAAGCGACCCGGTCCTTAGGGCCCCGGGACTCGAGAGAGGAGCTTCGCGTTGGACAGTAAATTCAGCTCTTCCTAGAAAAGCTGGAGAGCCCAAGTATTTGCATCAAAGTGCTGTGCAGAGTCAGGAGAAACAGTCAGCTCCCTGGAGAAGCACACTCCAAGCTAAATTATTCCTGACCTAACTAGAGTGGTTTCAGGATGGATGGAGCTGGTTCTCTGCATCCATGTAGCACCTGGCGGGCTCTGCCACTGCCTCCATTTTGTGGCGCAGGAGAGGCAGCCCAGGCGCCAGGAGCAGCCCCCGCGCCGGCCCTGCCGCTGCGGCTCCGCGCAGAGCACGGGAGACCCTTCCCTCCGGCTGTGGAAGGCAGGAGGCAGCTGGCCCTGAGCAGCGCGCACGAGGCTGAGGAGCAGCCCTGCTCACACCACCAGCACTCGGCTTCCCTCCCCACTCTTGTTTTTCCTTTCCCGGACACATTCGTTGTCTTTGCATGATTCATCCGGCTGCCCTAAGCGGTCATGCGGCGGTGACCTTGTTTCCGTCCCCCGGCCCTGCTCTGCTCCTTCCAACCTCTCCGTTCTGCGGGCCCGCGCGTGCGGGCAGCGGCGCTGCCACCCGGCCCCGGCGCCCGGGCACCGCGAAGGCGTCTCACCGCTCGGTAGGTTTTCTTCTGCCCGGCATGTTTGGGGGCTTTGCCCGGCTCGGACGAGCTCTCCACATGCATGGAGTATATGATGTCAAAGAAATCTTCCACCACAGCGACGCGTTTCAGAGAGATGCCCTCGGGCTCCGACAGTCCATCTGCCCCCTACAACAGTGCAGGCAAGTTGTGTTAGTGTCAGTGCTGGGTGACAGGGTGCCGAGGGCAGCCCGGGGCAGGCGCGGGGCAGGGGGCCGAGCGGGGCTCCCGGGGGACTGGCTGGGGCCAGGACAGTGGCGGCTGCTGCTGCTGC